AACTGCCTGTTAGTAACCTAAGGTAAACGTAAAGTTCTCCCTGTGCTTAACTAATTAAGCACTACGCCATGAAGGCGTATGTGGGAGTGGATGTATAGATCCACATTCTCTTAAACTCGGCATTAGTTGGAGGTGAGTGGGCAGCTTCACGGCCCTGCCGCTTTACCTCCGAGAATAGAGTTCCCGGTACCCATTGGATAGGAGGTTGGCTGGACCCCAGAGCCGATCTGGAAGACACGGAAAAGAGAAAATTCTTGACCCTAACAGGACTCGAACTCATATCCTTCAGTCGTCCAGCCCGTAGCCAGTTGCTATACCGACTACGCCATTCTGGATCCTTGCCTGTCAGTAACAGTGTTTCTTGCTACCCACTACAAGTTTCGACCATATTTCTGGACCATGATCAGTGGTAAAACCCTTAAACATCAATTGCCTCAATTGTCATGCCATACAATTTAATGGAATGTGGATTTGTTTCTCATAAGCGTTGCCCAGTGTGTTATCTATCATAGGGCCGAATCGTGACTAGCCCGTCCACCGGAATAATACTAGGTAAATAAATGTCTGGCATGTACTGTCTTCGCTCGCTTGGAAACCGGGATCGTGGGTTCGAATCCCACTCAGGACATGGATGTTTAGTTTGTATGTGTGCGTTTTTCTGTGTTTGTGTACAGGTAGAAGCTTTGCGACGAGCTGATCACCCGCCCAAGGAGTCCTACCGAATGTGTAAGATCTAGAAAAACCGAAGTGAACGGAGAAGGTCATGGAGGTAGGCTTAGGCCCACTGGGGCTGTAATGCCAAGGAAAAAAATTAAAAATAAAAAAAAAGTCTGGAGATCCTCGTTGAGCAATTGTCTTCATGCGCCTATTTGTTCATACGTGCATTTCTTGGGTTCAGTTATCCATATCGACACATTGCTTTCACGCGTGATTTCAGTTCTTACTTAAAACTGAGGGAACGAAGTAATTAAAACTCAATGAGAGTTTGAGGACATGGGACCTGCACATGAGACATTCTGTCTTTCACTTAATATGATACAGGATGTCCCCGGAGGAAAAGTCAATATTCATGGTCATAGTACCGGTCATTCTAAGCCAAACTGTATAAGTACACGTGTTCTATTCCGAACGGTTTCCGAGTTACAGCTATTTCACTGTACAGTAGTTTGGATTTGGCACTCAGATTAACATGTCCTCACAGGGGTTGCAAAATGCGTTATGATGACGGTGGAATTTTCGAAAATATATTATACTAGTTAAACTGTACCAACTTTATCACTTGAACAATAAATACCAGTATTAGAAGCAGTACGTAATATATCTCTTTCGTGTCGACAGTTTTGAAACCGTACAGTGAAATAGCTCTATCTCGGAAACCATTCTATGTACAGACATATATTTTTGCTTAGAATGACCGATACTATGACCTCCCATAATATTGACCTTTCATGCTGGGACAATCTGTATATAATGCTTTTACTTTTAAAACTGCTGATAAATTCGCTTATGTCCATATATTTTGAAAGGAATCCATAATTCAGGATGTCACATTGTCAGACAACGATCGGAAGTTGCGTCTGGTTTCCGCTGTTTGTGAATTGGAAGGCTAGATGTCAGCACTACCGATCTACCTTCAAAACATACACTTGGATATATATACATCCAACTGTATATCGTGGATGTGCTGATATAAACGTAACTTTCTTCTGTTTAAGCGAAAATTGCTGCATAAAGCCAGACGTCTCTGGAAAACGAAACAAGGCCCATCAGATACTTGGTCAACGCTGAAGATCGGATAATAAACTCGGCAAAAATAACGCTGGAATTTTGTGAATCTGGGGCAAATTGTTACATAGGCCCTATTTTATTACATCACAAATTTTAATGTCTTAACAATTGCTTGTTTCCTAAGCATTCAACAAATTACAATTGTTTATAATAACTCTTTTGGTGAAGGCACTATGCTACAAGCACGGATGTCGCGGGTTCGATTCCCGGTGAGGTCATTGGATTTTGTAATTAACCTAATCATTTCAGCCGCACTATTGCCCTGGGGTTGACTCAGCCTCTAACCGAAATGAGTACCAGGAGTCTTCCTTGGGGTAAAGGACGGCGGGCTCGTAAGGCTGAGAACTTCACCGCCCTCTGTCAGCAGATTGTCACGAAAATGTGGGAGCCTCGACGTTTCACAGCCATGTCAGTTTCCCCGGCCTGTTACAGGAATAGCTTTACCTTTACTTTTAACTGTTTTAGTCTAAATTATTTCACCTCTTTTGTATCAATTCGAAATTTGGTCTCGCCTCTCAGGAAGAACAATGAACAGGGTTTTAAGAACAGAGTCCTGAGCAGAATATTTGGATCTAAGAGAGGGAGAGTTTCCTTTTCGATGGTTCTTCCAGCCCATTCAGGGTCCAGAACGTTTTTCAGTTCCGTAATCGTTTTTCACAAACGGTAGGACTCCTTGGACGAGGGATCAGCTGGGCGCAAGAACTCTACCTAAATACTGGACAACACAAACACAGAATAAACGCATACACACACACACACACAAAACATCTATGCCTTGTTGGATTCGAACCCACAATCCCAGCGTCCGAGCTAGCGAAGACACTTCATGTCTTAGACCGCACGGCGCGGCTACTGTGACCGGCGAGAGAGAAGGGTTACTCGTGAAAATTACCTAATGAAGAGCTTCACAATTTGTTCCCATTCATCCCGGATGCCACGACCGAACACATGCCACTCGCGTTTCTTGTTCGGAAGGAGCTGGACTATAATGAGGTTCCTCGTGGTTTCCCTCAGTTCCCCCAAGCAAATGCCCGGACAACACTTCACACTAAGTCACAACCCTTCCGCATATTGGTCTGCCATTCGACTTTATAAATCAGACCAATTGAAAGCGTAGGTAAATTAACCAAGGATAGGCAATACAAATGAAATTTTCTTTTTCACCAAATGCTATGATGATTATTGTTATTATTATTATTGTTATTATAAAATCATGGAAGATCAGAAGAATAAGAAATGTGAGAGATGGGTAAGGTGTACAATATGTTAGTCAGAAAACGTTAAGAAAAATTGCACCTTGGAATCAAATAGGCATATATGGAAAAATCTGTATTATCAGAATTCATATACAAATAAATGAGGCGGGGGAAGGGATGTAGACTGGATTCATCTGGCTCGAACACGGAAGTGTAGCAAGGCTCTTAAGGAAAAAAAAAAAACTCCTTGGCTTTATTCCTCAAGAGAACTATACCGACCGAGCGACCGTCCCTTGTTCGGCGAAGTTAATGCCAACTTTAGCGGATAGAGGGTGTCGCGTGGTCAGCGCTAGGGATCCACACGGCCGTTAATCTCGGTTTTCTCGACCGGAGCCGTTATTTCCTTGAAATAGCTCCTCAATTATTCTCACGAGGCTGAGTGGACTCCGTTCCAGACTCACTACTTCTCAGAAAAGCTGGTAGCGTCGGGAATCGAACCCGGGACCTCTGGATTTGTAGCCAGAACTGTGACCACTAGACCACAGAGGCGATCTATATGCTAGCCCATTGTGTTGTCTGTGTGCGGCCAAAGTCTTCAAAGTTCTGTAAACTATTCGACCGCTTTTCATGAAAAACTTGACCTGTACATGATGTCACTAGAAGCCACTATAACGTCGTACTTTCTAATTTACCGCCTTAAATAACATTAACACTGGGGGCAATGAAATTTTGATGCGGGTGGGAAAATAGTGTCACTTAATTTATTCATGAGATGTTTTATGATAATGGGTCTTCTAAAACTATACGTCGTTGTTAAGTTAAATTTGTGTATACTGCAAAGCAGGACCGCCTCTGTGGCCTAGTGGTCATAGTTCCTGATTACAGATCCAGAGGTCCGGGTTCGATTCCCGGCGCTACCCGTGTTTCTGAGAAGTAGTGGGTCTGGAACGGGGTCCACTCAGCCTCATGAGGATAACTGAGGAGCTATTTCAAGGAAATAGCGGCTCCGGTCGAGAAAACCGAGATTAACGGCCGTGGGGATCCCTTGCGCTGACCACGCGACACCTCTATCGGCTAAAGTTGGCACTAACTTCGCCTACAAGCGGCGGGTCGCTCGGTCGGTATAGTTCGCTTGCGGACTGCAGGCCACGGAGTAAAATAATGTAAAGCATATCGGCCCTGCAACATAGCGATAATTAATGAACTGTTGGAGCTAGACATGTGTAATTTTGTGTAGAGTTCGATCCTAAACGTACATGTGAATGCTGTATGAAGCATATGTTAACAATTACAAATGTGGCACTTACCGAAACTTGACAAAACTGCAATGAGAAAGTCTGCTGCTCTAAGAATGAATTGCTAAATACGATTGAAATTCTGTGTGGTTGCTTTTAGCCTTACCATACTGATAGGCTATTTAACATATCATTTTGGAAATTAGTAGTACGATTTCAATTTTTTGATCTGAGCAATTTAGGTACGTACTTTCCCCCAGAACGTACGAGATCACATCGAAAATAAATTCACGTATAATGTATAAATGCGTTACAATTCATTCTTCTGCACCATGACAGATTTCAAACAAAACATTTTTACCAGATGGACAATATGTATAGAAGTATACATTTAGCGAGTTTCAGAGCTCAGTGACAGTAACTTTTGCATATTCTAATTAGTTCAAGTCTTTTAAATTGAGCTCCGCTTATAAATTATATATTTTAAAATTTTGTCTTATTTAATAGTGTTTTTACATACAGCTCATTAAATCCTATGTTAACAAATAAACACGAATTAGAGTTGCATGCCATTGAATTGGTGCATCTTAGGTTTCCAAAGATTAGGAAATCTAAGGGCAAAGAATACTTTCAGCTATATAAAATTATCTTTAATATTTATGCATTACTGCCCTTTACAGTGGAGACTGGAGCAAGTCGAACATTATAAATCTGTCATTACAAAAGACAGGACAGGGAAATGTGAAAACATGGACAAATCGCAAATAATAACCAAAGAGACTGCTGTTTTTCATCTCGATTTATGCAATTTTACATAAACATATTATAATATTAATTCACAGGCTGAGTGTGACTACACAGACTGAGGGGACCCTTTAGATAATACAATATTATTTTAAGATAAATCTTATGCACACTTTTCCACACTAAAAAAGTTGTTTATGTTTCAACAACACAACATTGAATTTTTTTCGCAGATTTTGGCCACAAAATCACTTTTATATTTGTTCATAAAATAGTTTACAAGTTGGTGACCTAAAAATTGTTGGAAGGACTAAAACATTTAAAAAGACTTGTCTTCTTTATATATTGTGTAATGAGGAGAAATGATCTGGAAATATTTAAAGTGTAAGGTGCATTTCAAAGGAGATGTATTCAGAGATTCCTCAAGGATTTACAGCCAAACTGTAATCTTGATCCGTGCCGTAATGTTGGCACGAATTCTATAATATCAAACCTCTCATCTTTATATGTAATACTGGAAACATTGTGGCAGTCCATCTACCGTCAAAACAAGACACTTGTTCTTTACTCAAGATTTAAAATGCATCTTCATTTTGTCTAATAAGGCTTTACGAATCCATGGCAATCTCAAATATCACATGATGCTCAATGTCTTACTATACATGTAAATGTCTTTCTTTCATAGATGCCTTTGACGTTAATCAATTCTTTTGTCAATTCTCTTGTATAATGAGCGTAGTAACATGACCTTGAAATTCTCTGATTATATCTCCTAAGTGATGTTCTCTTGCAATTTGTGTCCGTCATTCAATACCAGTAATAATTAACACACTTGCATTATTTTTAAACTCACAACAACCATTTTAATAAGTTTCAATTATTTAATTTAAAAAATTATCAACAGCCACTCAGTCATGGCCTCCTGAAATCACAAGGCCTAACAATGTGCAAAATTTGCTGCTACATGGTAGGATACTGGTGCTGCCCCTAGCGATAACTTACACAACACAATCAGTATTGTTTATTTCTTGTTTCATAACGTCTGTATTTAGTAAGTTCACCGTTAGTGGCAACATCAGCTGTCTCTTATAAGGTTATGGGCGACCTCTGCTGGACTACATACGTGTGGGGATCATGTTACAAGTTTCTATTCATTAAAATCCATCATAGCAGCATGTTTCTTACTTGGAAAAAAAATCTGATAAGACATTAATCACAAGAAACGTTAATAATCATTATTAGGGTGCAGAATTCGATCTTCACTACCATGAATACTTTTCTGTCACTGAAGTGTAATGTTGACTTCAAATTATAATGATAGTTTGAAAGAGAAATTTGCTTTTTATTCCAGGAACGATTATTCTGAAAAGTACATACCTGATTCTATCTTCATTTGGAAAGAAAAGTAGCAACGAGACAGCATTAACTAAAATTTTTAGAACATTTGTATCCATTAAGCCAATGCATTCCAGTTTACACAAATATGAGAAATATGTATTCACAGACCATTTAAAGACCATGAACAGTGTTTACAGTGTAATTAAAATATGACATCCATCATGAGGGAATATTGCCTTCTCTTATACTGAGTAACTGTTCTATCTATAGGTCTTTTAGTAATATCAATTGATAATGTGATGACCTCTGTTGCAAATTGTAATATTGTGCTTTATTTCTCACACTGATCATGTTCTTTAAAATATTTAGGCTAATCATTACAAAAATGATGTAGCCTTCAACATGAAGGTTCAGACTGATCCCCATTAATTCGTATAATATATAGCTTCTGTATAATGGATCATAGTCTGTGTGTATTCGAAGCCACTCTGAAATGTGCAGATCTGTTTCACAGACCACTTCAACAAGCAGTACTACTTTCCTGATATTTATCCCACATTACAATGCATCATGAGAAATAAGTACAACATAACCAATCACACTCCACATTACCATGTGCTGTACACTTGAAAACATGAATGGCACATAGAAATACCCCTCATAAAGTGTTTAAATGAATTTCACGGGAAACACCAAAGAAGTTTTGGTATGGTGCAGATGCAGTCCCTAGTCTGTTACAACAGCATTCTTCAACTATTTTCTGAGATCATATACAAATTTGAAGGGCTCTGTTGTCTAGGATATAACACCGTATACAGACGTTTCGGAGGAACATGTCGCATCTAACTTCAGGGTCAAAGAAAAAGCAAACAAGAAAACAGCGTGAAAGCTCTGCTCTGCTTGGACCTGCTTTCCCAGAAGTTAAAACTCTTCATAGCCACCGCTGTGAGAACCTCAAATCCTATATAACATTTTTTGATAATTCTAATGAATTCTTTTAGCATAAGAATATACAGTGTTTTGTAAACCCATTCATTTCGTATGATTTAAAATACGTAAATCAAACTTAACGAGATAACAAACAGCTGGCCTTTTCTGGATCATATTAAAGAAGACTATTTATTGAATTAATACAATTTGAAGAAAAAAATTGTTCCCAAACACTAATTCGACGAATGCTATGTGAATGTGAGTATGAAACAGGCAAACATATCACTTATCGATCTGTCGATCCAAGAGTTGTTACAAAATTATGTCAGAAATATATTAATCGATACATATTCAGTTCGCATGGCATACTTTTGTGAACATAGTCTGTTTGCGCTAAATGAAAGTGCATTGCTGGCTAATGGGTGGTTACTTTGCAATGATATTTTTAATTGTTCTTCTATTTGAATGCTTTGAAAGTGAAAGTAAACTTAAGTATTTGTCTTTTAATAGGAAAATGTGGGCAAATCGAAGATGTAACCATTAACGGTACAAATATTTATGTAACTATGAACTAAATATTAAAGTCAGTAAAACGCAAGCAACATGAGTACAAGAAAAAACCAAATAAGAACTAGTGTAACAGGCAGACGTAAATGATTGAGAAGCCGGAAAATGTTACCCACGAGACCAGTGTCCGCGCGGCTACAGTGACCGGCTTGAAGGCTAAAATATATTCACCATGCTCTTTAGAATGTGGGCAAGAAATTAACTGATATATATGGTGATGTTACAGATGAAAATGATATAGTAAACTGGGTACTATCTTGATGGTGTGTGTGCTACTGCTTCAAACAGAATATTGATCACTTCATGCTATCTTACCATAGTCCTGTCGAAAATCTGAACGCTTCTGAAGATCCACTCTAAAAATAATTCTTCATTTGTGATATAGAGACTGTTACACATATTGGGAGACCTACTGCTCAAGTGATACTGCAGTTCAGGGATTCTGGATGTAACCAAAATAAAAGACACAACAAAGGCAAAGGAAATGTGAGATAATTGGGATAATGCGTTTGTAACAGCGAAAGGGTGTTTTGGCCAGTCTTGTATAATCTATAAAGGGTGGGCCTTTCACTGTTGGAACCTTCAAAAAAGTGGGTGCTTATTTCCTTTCGTTGGAAAACAGTAAAAAATATAATAATTAAAATAATAACAAATCTATAATGAATACTACAAATTTTGCTGGATCTCGATCCCTAAGCAGAACAATTCGAGTTCCAGAGAAGTTAAGAAAAAATCCACATTCACACGTATGCACATACTCACACGCATGTAAACTTTGTTGCCTCATCTACCGCTCATTTGAAGTGACTGTGAAACTAGTTCTGCAGTCTCTCAGGGGACAGTTATTTACAACATTCACGCACACACACTGTATTTTTTGTACTTGTTCGAGCTCCTGTAATTTCGAACAGGGAATCTGTTGCTGCTTCACGAACACTGTCCAGAACAAAATGGCTGCCGCCACATTCATGGAGACAAAAATGTGACTGTCGCTGCACATAGGCTGGCGGCTGGGACGCAGGAGAATTATCACGTGTACTCTGACCTCCAGCTCGTCTGAAAGAGAGACAATCAGTCACTTGGACAGGCTGAAACCTTTCCTTCCCACCACAATGCCAGCTGGCCAGTTATGGCATTCACTAATTTTTGATTATCGTTAAAAGTCATGTGTAGCTATTGTGATCTGCATTCGCAAATAAACTGCAAGCTTCACTACGTAAAGCTGTTTATTACTTTGGAGCATAGGGCTAATTTCTGTTTCATGATCATTTTACAGACGGTAGACTCCTTGGACGGGTGACCAGCTCGTCGCAAGACCTCTGCCTAAACAGAGGACAGCACAAATACAGAATAAACGCATACACACACCAAACATCCATGCCTTGTGTGGGATTCGAACCCAAGATTCCGGCTCCCGAGCAGGCGAAGACAGTACATGCCTTAGACCGCTCGGCTACCGTGACCGGCATTAATACCATTACATTTCGAAAATTGTTTTCATTTGTGTCTTCAGATGAAAATAATATAAAAGAAAATCTGCTCTGTTGGTGTTCATGATTCAAAAGTTGTTATATCGGGGTTCCGGAAAATGTTTCCTTTGTATCTTGTTCCGCTGAAGCCACAAACAGAACCAGCTTCCGACAAGCTGGAACCCTTAGCAGAACCTTCAGCATTATGTCACAACATCATCAAAATACTTTAAACGTAGCAAAAGTCATGCTTAATGACAAAGATGATGACAATATAACTGGATGTCAGTCATTTTGACTGAAGTTCTTTTCGTGACTTTCTCCAAATATTGTGACCACTACTACAGCTGGCCGTATCACTTCCGGTTCAGCGTGTACAGATCACCAACAGAAGTTACTGCGAATTAAGCAATGATGTATGAGTGACTGGAGCCAAATCACTCGCAAGGAAGCGTCCAGAAACTTACCATTCCGTTCGACGTCGCCGCAAGTCCCAGACCGCCTGATCCGAGAGCTGATAACGACGTCATGTGATGGTGGTGCATACCGTGATGGGGTGGCGGTCCTGGAGGGGGGACAGGCCCCGGGGGACCAGGGTTCATGAACCCTTGGTGGTGAGTGTTGTGATACATGTAGTGTGACATGGCAGCGTGATGCGGGTGCAGGTGGGGGTGTACATTAGCGCCACCACCCATCGGCGAGCCGAAACCCCCAGCTCCTGTTCCAAACCCCCCGGATTTTCCTGTGGGATCCAGGGGCTTGATCATGTCAGACATGACTCCTCCTAGAGACAGGCATGAGCCCGGAACTCCGCCCTTCTTCTTCTTGGACTTGGAGGAGAGCTTCCGGTTCCGGGTCTGGATTCCCTCCTTCTTCATGGTTAGTGGTCGGTTCACCTGGGAACATAGAAGCGGGAATTTCTCTGTTACACTTATCTTCATGTCTAATGAACCAGAGACGAAGATGTCTGAGAATCTCGTGCTGAGAATATTCGGGCATCCGAGGAGGGAAGTCACAAAATGTTAGAGGAAATTACATAATGAAGCGCTTTGTAATTAATTAGAATAATCAAGTTAAGGAGGATGAGATGGGCATAGCATGTAGCACGATTGGGGGAGAAAAGGAATGCATGTAGGATATTGATGGGAAAGCGAGAAGGAAAGAGATCACTAGGTAGACCATAACATAGGTGGGCGAGCAATATTAAAATGGATCTCAGAGATATGGGATGGTACTGTATAGATTGGATTGATCTGGCTCAGGATAGGGACCAGTGGAGGGCTCTCGTGAATACGGTAATGAACCTTCGGCTTCCATAAAATACTGGGAAGTTCTTGAGGAGCTGCACAACTGGCGGCTTCTCAAGAAGGGCTCAGCTCCACGAGTGAGTGAGAGCTTCATAATTTGGACTCTTCACGAAATATTATAATAAGAGATTAGAGAAAAATAAGATCGGCAAGGTACATAGCATGCAAGTAAGAGATGAGAAATGCGTACAAAAATTGTAGTCTAAAAACCCGAAGAGGAGAGATCTTTCATAGGACCTAGGAGCAAACGGGGGGATAATTTTAAAATGGGTCTTAAATACGTGTGTGAGGCTGTGAACTCCGTACATCCAGTTCTGAATAAGATGAGAACTATACCGATGATGAAATAAATGGCAGGGAACATATATTGACTAGCTAAACGACTACTAGCTTATAAAGAAGGACTCAGCTCTACACTGTCACTTAATAATTCAATAACCTCTTAAGCAATATTCATAACGAGCGTATTGATCAGTCAATCAAGAGGCTACGGACTTTGTAACGTACGTGAGGAGAGTAAACAAGAGAAATACTTGAAATGTCTCGCTTTGCAAGCAGAAGGGCCCCTCGGTGAGTGGCACAAGCCCACACAACAATCCCATCAATAAACAAGTCGACGCAATTAAAACGAACTGGGATGGAATAAGAGAAAGAGCCTAATGTGGGTCTCCTGACCCCATTTATAATCTTTATGCACCAACAGTGCAGCATAATGAAAAGGAGATGATGCTCTTTTGTTACGCTCAATTTGTCGGCCATTTTCAGTGTCTGGCTTGGTGTTAATAGAGAGTCATTATCAGCGGGCCACGGGTGAGTAAGAGTCTTCTCGAAAACATCAGTCCTTCACACCGGTTCACAGAATCTACCTTCATTGCAAACCGCAGATGGATGTTAGGACGATTTGTGAGGAATCCGTTGAGAAAATGAGAAAGCATCTTGTCGTATAGTGTGATATCATAGAAATTGTCAGCAGTGACTGAGAAAAACTCTTCACGCGCTATAGTCAGTCCCTGGGAGTGATTCGAACTGGTTTCCTTCTAAATATGTAGGATTAGTATTTATTGTTTTTCTCTGGCTCTACTGTTCTTTGTTGGGCCCTGGCCGCTTTTTAGTTTCTTAAAACTATACACAGTCGGTATTAGTCCTTGCATGGGAGATCAGCCCGTCGCAAGGCCTCTACCTATACACAGGACAACACAAACACATAATAAACGCAGACGGACACACTCGTGTGGGATTTGAAAGCACGATCCCAGTGTTCGAGCCGGCGAAGACAGTTCATGCCTCAGACCGCGCGGCCGCTTGATCGGCCTGGTAACTATATACTTCGAAATAAAAAGTACACAGATGAGGCAGCCTAGAGTGGCACGCTACCATATGAAGGTTAGAGTCAGTAAAGTTGTCCCTTTGCTTAACTTATTAAACACTACGCAATGAAGACGTATGGGGGAGTGGATGTATAGATCCACTTATTGTTGATCTCGGCATTAGTCGGCCTGGCCACTTTACCCCTGGTATCCATTGGACAGGTGTCTAGGTGGGTCCCACAGCCGGTCTAGTCAACGTTGAAAAGAGAAAAACCTTGCCCCTACCGGGACTCGAATTCCGACCTGTTTGTCGTCCAGCCCGTAGACAGTGCTATCCCGGCTCCCGGCATAAAAAGTTAGGTAAAAAAAAATTGGCAAATGTCTGAGTCACAAGTAGATATTCAACAGCTTTGTCGTGAAAACAGGATTTCTTACCCTATCCACCTCCCCCCCCCCTTGTGGTTATCACTCCTGATTGTCCTCTCTCACATTCAAAGGCATATCTGTCATCGAATTGCACCGAACCGTCTTCCTACTTTCGACTGTAATTTATTGAATTATTACGCGCTTCGAAATTCGTAGTATGATCAGGCACTCTGTGCAAAGTCAGACCCATTCACTGCCTTGCATAACGCTACACCCACCTCATGGAGCAGAGGCTTTGACAGTAGCTCAGCTGCTCAAGTAACCTCACACCTCACATACAACCGGAAGGCTCTGGATTTTATTCCAAGCCTCATGAATCTGTTACATAAGCTGCTACCCACTTCCTTTAAGGTTCCGTTTAAGTATATCCTCCCATCTACGCCTATGTTTTCATCACTTTATTTGTTCTGATCAGAACTTCGTATATACTTCTCTCTTCCCCAATATTGGCCACATACCAGCGCAGTTCGTCGGGCCATTATGCTACAAGCCGGAAGGTCGCGGCTTCGATTCCCGATGAGGTCATTCGGTTTTTCAATTGACCTAATCCTTCCAGCCGCGCTATAGCCCTGAGATCGACTCAGCCTTTAACAGAAATGAGCACCAGGAATCTTCCTGGGGTAAAGGGCGGCCAGCTGAAAATCTCACCGCGATTGTCTAAAAAATGTGGGAGCCTCGACGTCTCACAACCCTACAGGATGACCGCTCGGCCACCGTGATCAGCTGATGATGATGTAAGGCCAACCTACAGGTTCTACTTTGTGCGGGTGAATAATTCATACGAATGTCTGGCGATAATGTACATCTCGAATGAATGCGAATTTGTAATTATTCATGCCGAAATTTAAGCCATGACATAATGCACCGCAAAATAATACGCGAAGGATAAAGATGTCCAATTCCTTTAGTTACTATCCATATATATATATATATATATATATATNCGGCTAGCATTCAATACCACAAAGAACACTACATGGTAGCAGAATTTATAGTAATGGACGACCGAGGGTTCGGAGTTCGAGTCCCAGGAGGGTCAAAAATATTCTCTTCTCCAAATCGTCCAGACCGGCTCTGGGTTCACCCAAATGCCTATCCAAAGGGTACAGGGGACTTTTTGCCCGGAGATAAAGCGGCATGGGCCTCAAGCTGACCATTGTCCTCCAACTAGTGTCGAGTTCAAGAAAATGTGGATCTATGCATCCACTCCCCCATACGCCTACATGGTAGTGCTTAATTCGTCGAGCACAGGGACAGCTTTACCTTACCTTCACTTTTATCTCAAGTGAAACAGCTTTTAAATTTTGCAAATGATGAACCATAATTCTTGTGTAAGTCAAAATACGTTTGAAATGTTGGTATCCGCTGAAAGAAATAAAGTTTCTGATTTCTTCGTTGAGTTCCATTCTTAAGCACTAAATGTTCACACGTTCCATATGTTTGAAGCTCATTTTCAAAGCTGTTTCCGCATTTCACACTGTCTTATAGTTTTACTTACTGGGCATTCAGATCTCTTCAGTTTTATGAGACTGTGGAACGCTTCGAAGGGCCAGTAGGGCCCTAAGGTTTTGGTACCAGGTAATTACAAGGCCCCTAAAACTATAAGAAGACCATGGGCATATCCGTGTTCTGGGCAGAACTGTAGCCGGCTACACCACCGTACCCGAGTCCTACTGGCAAGCTGCGGGCTGCAGCTACAGCTGCTACAGCTATCTCTATTCGCACGCCACTCAAATACCCTGAAGAGGGAGGCGATATGTTCCTCCAAAACGTCGGTTAAAACGAAGAATACACGGCGCCAGATCCCAGAAGACGACTTTCTTCATAGTCATCGCCGTGAAAACCTCAAAACTTACAAAGTTCTGGGAACTTTGACATGACTCGGACGGTATAGAAAACAACGCGTGTAACTGGACCAGCAGCACTTTACTGCTACGCTCTCAGGAATTACGAGGGATATACAGACACAGACTGAAAGCTGATCTCATAAGCCTCCTTTTTTAAATAAGGAAAATAGGCTAAAAATTATAGTTTTCACAGAGGTAGGTATTGAGATTGCGGTCAGGGGCGACCTTGCAGATGCACTCAGAAAATTATTCCGAAATGTTAGCAAGCCTGCCCACCAACCAGACTATATACGAGGTTGCAACCCAGAAGGTCACAAAAACAAAACAAAAAACTCAGTGGTTTTAGTTCGCAAGCGAACTATATCGACCGAGCTACCGCCGCTTGTCGGTGAAGTTAGTGCAAACTTTGGCGGACAGAGGGTGTCACGTGATCAGTACAACGGTTCCACACGGCCGTTAATCTCGGTTTTCTAGACCGGACCTAGAAGACCACAAACAAAACAAAATGATGCCTAAACAATTATAGGACGTAAATTTAATCTGTCGAGTTCGAAGAATTTTTAACTTGAAACTAAATACGGAGCTGTGTTATTGTGCCTATGAATTAGATGTACAGGCTCGTGCTAAGTGAGTACTAATGTAAGGCTGTGTATGGCTCAGGCTCAGGGAAGGGACCAGGCTAACATATTTGGAAACCTCTGTACGCTGGGCCCTGACTTAGCTAAATAATAATCCACTTATTTGATCAGCAGGGGGCCCCGCTGCACTGATTCTTACAAGTTCCTGCCCCCTCTCCCTTTACCTTGCTCAGGGGGGAACAGAGAGAGAGAAAGAGAGAGAGAGACCGTGGGTCGACCGCATTATCACTCTCCGTCTTCGTGCAAAAACGGCATCTGTCACAATGATAGCATAACGGTAAGGCAAAGTTACTTAACCGCCGATCACAGGGACCGGCCGGCCGCGCGGTCTAAGGCATGAACTGTCTTCCCCTGCTCAAACACGGCGATCG